TTAAGAGGAAGTTGGGGATGTGCTGGGTACAATCCTTATGAGGTTGACAAGGAAAGCACCTACCACAATTTCCCACAACAGTGTCTGTGTCAGAGACAAAACATTGCAGTGAGATAACAGCTCCCATTTCTATAGCGCGCGCGCGCGCGCGCACACACACACACACACACACACATTAATTCATTTGACCTTCACCAAAACCCTGTAAAGGAATTAGTGCAAACATTAGTCACTCATTATAAGGTAAACAGTACAAACATTAGCCTTCAGTAGAGGCTACATGATGACCTGTTGACTGTGTTTTAGAAGGGGGTTAATTTCCAGTGTGAGGGGGATGAAATGGCCTGACTCAGTTGCCTCCCACAATTCTCAAATTCTGATTCAATACTAACCCCTCTCCGCTTTTATAAAGGAGGAAACTGAGGCTCAGAGGAGTTATTTCCCCCTAGTTCTTATAACCAGAACTGGAATGAGATAGCAAATTCTCAACTTAGACTTCAGAGCTCCCTGTATCAATGCAGGTGGGGCATCTGATCTTCAAGTTCATAACTGAGAGGTTGCGTCTTACCCAGGGTCACACAGCTAGTATGTATCAGAACTCGAACCCAGCTCTCTTTCTACTACTGTTCCAGCCATGTCTTGTTTAAACATGTTGTCATCCTGAGTTTAACACTGTATATATAATAGGCTACTCATAAATATGGTGAATCTAATTAAAATTGAATCCAGCAGACCTTCTCATCAAGCAGCTAGAAGGCCCAGTGAGTGAGTAGAGTGTTGGCTCTGGAATCTGGAAGACCTGAATTGAAATGCAGCCTCAGATACTACTTACTAGTTGTATTACCTTGGGCAAGTCACTTAATCTCTGTCTGCCTCAGTTTCCTTAACTGTAAAATGAGGGCAACAATAGGTTTTCTGTGAGCACTAAATGAGATAATACCTGGCATAAAGTAGGTGCTTAATAAATGCTTGTTTCCTTTCTTCCACCCTCCAAGACAGGAAGACCTGGGTTCAAATCTTGCCTCTAATACATACCAGCTGTGCCACCCTGGGCAAGTCACTTAGCCTCTCACTGTTCTAATCAACTATGTAACTTAAGACTTTAAGTTGCAGATGACACCGACCTACCCTGGTAAAGGGAGTTCCCTTAATGGAGAGTTCCACATACCAAAGCAACCACAGTTTCAGTCCTGATCCCTATCCCTTTTCACTAGGAGGTTGGTGGAGTATAGCAGTAAGGATGTTGGTTCTACATTCAGAGGAGCTGGGTTCAAGTCTTGATTCTGATACAGGTTTGCTGGATTTGTTACAGTGGGGATTCCTTTCACATTTATGTTGGACTAGATGGTTAGTCAGTCAGTAAATACTTATTAATTTATATTTATTAACATAGCCCATTGTGAACCATGCATGGTGCTAAGCATTGGGAATTTTTTTAAATGAAAAAGAAAGACAAGGAGCCTATAATCTAATGGGGGGAAGTCAGCACACAAAAGGGGTGGGGCCTGATGGCAAAGCCCAGAGGCGTGCAGCCAAATGGGAAATGAAGAGATGGCTGGCTCCCTTTCAATTCTCAAATCCTGTAATACCTTGTGGGCAGGTGATTTAACTTCCCAGAGGCTTAGGTTCCTCATCTGTAAAATGAAAGGATTGGGTTAGGCGGCTTCTAATGTCCCTGTTGGCTCTAGATTTATGATCTCATGACTAGATGACTAGAACCTCTCCTCTTCCTAAGTCTCCTGTTACCGTAGAGAACACCACCATCCCCCCAGTCACCTGAGCTCACAACCTAGGGGTCGTCCTGATCCCTCACTCTCTCTCACCCTCCACATCCAATCTGTTGCCAAGGCTCGTTGATTTCACCATTGCTGCACTTCGAATACTCCCCCGTCTAGTGTAGACCCTCATGCCTGGGCTGTTACAATAGCTTTCTGGTGCGTCTGCCTCCCTCAAATCTCTTTCCACTCCAATCCAGCCTCCATTTAGGCACCAAAGTGATTTTCTTAAAGCACGGGTCTGACGATGTCACTTCTCAGTTCAACAAATTCCAGTTTTTAGAATCCTATCACCTCCAGGATCCAAATAGAAAGTCTGCTATCTATCTTTTAAAGAACTTCAAAACCCGGCCCCTTTCTACCTTTCGAGTGGTCTTATACCTTATTCCCTTCCCCTCCGTGTCCTTTACAATTCTGCCTCGCTTAAATCCAATTCCCACACAGATCAGGACATCACCGGTGATGGACAAACAACAGAAATGTTACAATCCTCCTTGCTCATCCTCGAATAAGACGCTCCATCCCCGCCTCCATGAATTTTCACCGCTTATCTCTCATGCCTGGAATTCTCTCCCTCCTCATCTCCATCTCCCGATTTCTCTGGCTTCCTTCAAGTGTCAGCTGATAACTCACTTTTTCTAAGGATCCTTTTTCCTTGTCCTCCTTAATGTTAGTGCCTTTCCTCTCTCTATCTCGTTTGTATGTAAATGTGCACGTTGTCTTCCCCCGTTAGATTTTGAGCTGCACGAGGACAAGGACTATTTTTGTCTTTTTTTTCTTTTTCTTTTTTGTAATTTCAGTGCTTAGTAGAGTGTCTGACACATAGTAGGTGCTTGCTGGGCTTGACTAAACTTTACTATGTGATGTTTGATGTCCCTTCCAGCTCTGTATCTCTGATCCTCTAAAGCCAAATTAAATGTTCCTTCCGCTGTATAGTGCCTGGCGCATAGTAAGCGTTTAATAAATGCTTCGCTGACTGATGGACTCCATCATGCTGTAGTCTGACCTTTGTCCTTAAGTGACTGGGAGAACATTCGGGTTGCCGAGGATTAGGGAGGAGATCTGAGCATTGCCAGGGCTGGACAAGAGCTCTGTTTTCCCTTCTGGTCTCAGTACACAGTTTGTTGCACAGGATGAATCCTTAATAAATACCTGGATAGATAGAAAGGCAGCTGGGTTCTGTCCCTTCAGAGGCAGCAGTGTGGCCATGCCGGCCCTGTCATGGGGCCAAACTTGACACAAAGAGAAAAAAGAGCAGCTTGGGAAGGGACTTCCATTGGTAACATTAAGGAACATTGTTGTCCCCCCTCCTGTGCAGGGTTCCCCTTTGTAGGAATCAGTACTTTATAGACATCACAAGATAATACAGTGCTGAGAGGAACCTGAGATTATTCAGTCCAACTTTCTCATTTTACAAATGAGGAAAGTGAGACCCAACAAGGTTAGATGAATTCCCTAAAATAACATGGCTTAAACTGGAAGAAATCATCCTGTTAATTTTACCTTCACAAATCTCTTGACTGAGCCCCCTTCTCACCTTGTCACCACCCTAGTGCATGCCCTCCACACCTGGCACGTCGACTAATGGGATAGCCTGCTGGTGGGTCTGCCTGCCACAAGTCTCTCCCCATTCCCAGCCTTCCTCCACTCACTCTGCCATCAAAGTGACTTCCTAAAGCTCAAGTGGGACTTTCCCCCTCCCCCTCTGAACAAAACCCCAGGGGCTCTTTATCAGCTCCAAGATCAAACACAAACTCCTCTGTTTGGCACTCAGAGCCCTTTACGACTGGCTCCCTGCCCTGCACCCCACCTCTTCCGACTTCCTCCACCTTACACTCCTCAGGGACTCTTTGATCTAGTGACACCGATCTCCTTGCTGTTCCTCAAGCAAGATGTTCCTTCCATTTCCCAATTCCAGGCATTTCCACCAGCTGTCCCCATGCCTAGAATGCTCTTCCTCTTTATTTCTACCTTCTGTCTTCCCTGACTTCCTTCAAGTCCCAGATAAAATTCTACCTTCTGCAGGAAACATTTTCTGATCCCCCTTAATGTTAGTGCCTTCCCTCTGTTGACTATTTCTGATGGATCTTGTATATAGCTCATTGGTACATAGTTGTTTACCTGTTGTTTCCCTCATCAGCCTGAGGGTCCTTGTGAGCAGGGACTGTTTTTTGCCTTTTTTTTTTTTTTTGTATTTTGCTAGGCAATGGGGTTAAGTGACTTGCCCAGAGTCACACAGCCAATGAGTGTTAAGTGTCTGAGGCCGGATTTGAACTCAGGTCCTCCTGAATCCAGGGCCGGTGCTCCATCCCCTGCGCCACCTAGCTGCCCTGTTTTTTGCCTTTTTTTATATCTCTGGTGCTTATCACAGTGCCGGGTACATTGTTTTTGTTGACTCTTTTCAGTTGTGTCCAACTCTCCATGACCCCATTTGGTTTTCTCTTGGCAAAGATACTGGAGAGGTTTGCTCTTTCCTTCTCCAGTTCATTTTACAGATAAGGAGACTGAGGCAGACAGGGTTAAATGACTTGCTCAGTGTCACACATCTAGTAAGTATCTGAGGCTGGATTTGAACTCAGGAAGATGAGTTTTCCTGGCTTCAGGTTTGGCATTGTATCCACTGGGCCACCTAGCTGCCCAGTGCCTAACAGGCACTTAATGTTTATTAATTGATTACTCTAGCTCAACCCTTTCATTATCTTTGCAGGTGTGGAAACTGAGTCTCAGATAGGTAAAATGATTTGTCCAAGGTCACCTAGCTCTTAAGGAACAAAGCCAGAAAAAATATGTTCAGGTTTAGCAGTAAGTTCTGTGTTCTCCCTTCCCCTTTCCTCAACTTTTCTGGCAGAGACTCAACTGCCCCTTTAGAGAATTCTTTTATGGAAATGACTCACTTTATCAGGTTATGAAATCTGGAGGGCAGCAAGTTTTTACATTTTTGTACTGTATCATGACCCATTGCCAGGAAGGTTTCCAATTCCAGGTAATCTTACAAGGGAAACACCGACAACCCCTGACGTGGATGAGGAGTGGCTGATATGAGGTGATACTTGAGTCAGAAAGAATGGTTAACAAACCACACAGGTAAAAGACCAGGTGTCTGTCTCATCATGAAACATCTCCAATCAGTCAGAAGAAGGCCTTGTGTGGTGTGACCCCAGGGCCAGGGAGGGCTCCCCTTCTTATTTCCTCCTCTGCCACAAGCCCCTCTGCCTTTGCTCCTACCTCAAAAGGAAGGCAGTGTGATGCAGGGATCAGAAGACACGAGTTTGAATCCTGGCCTGCCAGTCTTCTCATCTGTAAAAAAGAAGGAGGGTGAGCCCGATAACTTCTGAGATCTCTCCAATTCTAAATACCGGAGATCATGGCAATTTTCACCCCCTGAGAGGTGACAAGGTGTAGTAGGAAAGAGAACTAGAAAACTCAGGTTTCACAATAGCTTTGCCACTGTATGACCTCAGCTACATTGATTTCCCTCTCTGCCATTCAGTTTCCTCATGCTGTAAAACAGGGAAGATAATGTCCCATAATAATGGCTAGCATTTACATAGCACTTTAAGGTTTGCAAAGCATTTTACAAATGTTATCTCATTTGATCCTCACAGCAACCCTGGGCAATAGGTGTTATTATTATCTCTATTTGACAGATGAGGAAACCGAGGCTAAGAGAGGTTAGGTGACTTGCCTAAGGCCATCAAGCAGGTAGTGAGTGTCTGAGGCAGGATTTGAACTCATGTCTTCTTGACTCCAAGTCCAGTACTCTAGCCACTGTGCCACCTGGCCGTCTGCTCATCTCCCAGGACTGGTACGAGCATGCTGTTGTTCCGTTGTTTCAGTCATATCTAACTCTTCCATGACCCATTGTGGGGTTTTCTTGGGAAAGATACTGCAGTGGTTTGCCACTTCCTTCTCCAGCTCATTTTACAGATGAGGAAACTGAGGCAAACAGTTAAGTGACTTGCTCAGGGTCACATAGCTAGTTAAATATCTGAGACGAGACTTGAACTCAGAAAGATGAGTCTTCCTAACTCCAGGCCCAGAGCACTTCCTGACTTCAGGTACTGTGCCTCCCAGCTGCCCTTGTTATGAACATACAGTGAGATCAAAAAGGACAGCTAACATAGAGCTTTTTAAAGTTTTTCAAGGGGTTTTCCGTACAGAACCTGGGCTTCTCTGAGCACGCCCAGTTCGAATCTGGAGCTGCTCTTGAGGATCTCCACGTCAGACAGGGCATCCCCAGAGAAGTCCAGGGTTACATGTATTTGACCTCATTTGAATCTGATAATCATCCTGTGAAGTAGAACATGCAGGTCTTATCATCATCCTCATTTTACGAATGAGGAATCTGAGCCTCAGAGAGATGCAGTTTGTAGCAGTAATTTGAAAACTGTAAAATCTTCTATCCATGTAAAGGCTTGTAATTGTGCCTCCTGTACTTAAGAAGCACACCCCTGGAGCAGCTAGGTGGCGCAGTGGATAGAGCACCAGCCCTGTATTCAGGAGGATCTGGCTCAAATCTGGCCTCAGACACATAACACTTACTAGCTGTGTGACCCTGGGCAAGTCACTTAACCCCACTGCCTAAACAAAACAAAAAAGAAGAAGAAGAAGAAGCACACCCCTGGGGTGACTCTTCATCTACCCTCACCCCAGAACCATTGGTTTTCTTTGTGTTGTCTGTTTTCTGTCTCACGGTTTCCTGCTGCCACCACCCTTAGATGACTATTGTACAGGACACTCGATGATGCCTGTGAGTTTTGCAATAGATGATTGCATCAGTTAAATATTGTTATATAGCCGCCCTCTGCCCTCTCTCTCCCAGTCTTCCCTCCCTCTTCTGGGCTAGTAGTAAAGTGAAATGGCAAGGCTTGGATAAGTTTTTCCAAGGGGAGGGGGAAGGAGGAGAAAGGAGTTGCCCTCCTAAGCATGGTCAGAGGGACGTTCATTTGATGATAACTTTCTTCACTTGCATCTTTGCCCTCTCCCCTCTCAATGGCACACAGCAAAGGACAGGGCGTGGGCGTGGGTGGAACCCGAGGCCATGTCAATCCAGGATTCTTTGGGGCAGGTTTTCCTGCAGTCTGTCCTGGCCCATGTGTACACCTGGGGGCAGGGCTGAGCTTTATGAGTAAGCAGGAGCTGGCACCTGCCTTCTAGGGTTACCCGAGGGCTCCCAGATCATCCCTTTTCCTACAAAACACAACATAAAATATCTCCCCCATTGCTCTGTCCTCGGTGCCTCAGATTCCACTATGAGAGAATCATTCCTTTGGGTCTTCTAGTTTTCCTGAGTCCTATAAGAAATGCACGTACTCCTGGAAGATAGAACCATGAAGCCTTTATCAGGCAGCACCTTCAGAAGGATTCACTGGTAACTCTGCTCAGAGCAAGCTAGATTTGTGGGGGTAAGGAGTTCTAGAGGTGACAGGGGAGGATGACTTCTGAAGTCCCTTAAACCTCTGAGATTCTGTGATTTTGTGAGGGAAGGGCGAGAGGGATGAATGGGAGATGGTGAAAGAAGAGATGGGAAGGTGCCTAAAGCTTGTCTTTCTACATAAAAATGTAGCTGAAAAGGTGCTATTATTATCCCCGTTTCATAGACTTTTTTTTTTTTACAGATTTTACAGATATCCAGCCTGCTCTGGGTATAAGCCTGTTATGTACCCCCACTGACCCTTGTCCAGACTCAGAATCTGATTGCCCATAGGGTGCAGTTGGATTTGTGGAATCCTCAGCATAAAAGGGAGACCCAAACTCATTTGTGTTTCTTTAAGTTTATTTACACCCTGGGATATTCCAAGTGCTTCTTGGAGTAAGGAAGAGGTAGGATTGAGACTTAGGAAAGAGTTATGGGTAGTACTCTTAAATGAACCCCTTCTCTGCCCCTTCTTCTTGGCCTAACCCAATGTTCTTCTTCCTTCAGCACACACTTTGAGTCCCACTTCTTCCATGAAGCCTTCCTTGACTACAGAGATATATCAGGGGGTTATGAATAGAGTATTGGACTCAGAGGCAAGAAGACTTGGGTTCAACTCCTGTCTCTGACAACTACTAGCTAGAAAATTCACTTAATATCTCTAAGCCTCAATTTCCTCACCTATAAAATGGAATATCTGCAGTTCTTATATCCCAGAGCTGTTGTGACGTTAAAATGAGATACTGTATGCAAACTTTCTCAAAAGCTAAATAATGCTGCTCTCTCTATGAGCCCATGATTTGACTTCTAATTATTCTTGCATTATTATGTTAAATTACCACTTACAACTTTTATATAGTTAGTTAATATTTCATGTGGAACCCTGGAAAAATCTCTTATCTGCTCTTGGTCTCAGTATCCCCATTTGTAAACTGAGGGGGCTGTGCTAGATGACCTCTAACATCCCTGTCAGCTCAAAATATTCTTATGATTCTTTGCAGGTATATCTTGTTTCTATGGCTAGACTGTCAACTGAAAAAAGCACCACGGACCATGGGCTCTATGTCTCTGTATTCCCCATAACAGCTAGCATGACACCTTTAAGATCTTAGACCTTTATCAAAGTTTGGTGGACTGCTGAAAAGTCAGGTGGGTTCACACCTCTCAAGAATGGATCCTGAGCAAGTAGGTCTTTGCTGTCTTGAAAAACCCTCAACTCCCTGTTTACAGTTCTTGAATCAGACTCTTTCCTAATTTCCTTTCAAGGAGATTTTCTGATTCTGATTAAGTTAGGAGTCATCATCAGTCTACAGGGAAGAAGGATTACAAAGGGAGAATGAAAACGAATACTTCCATCCTAACTTGGTGAAGAAAGCAGAGGCAGAGACAGATTGACTATCTCCCTTGAGACGCAGACTGAATCAAGGATACCAAGGAGACAACTGCTTAGACAGGAGCTGGCATTTATAGCATCACCAAGCTAGACCTGGAAGGAATTTTAGAAGTCATCGAATTCAACCTGCTTATTTCAGAGCTGAGGAAACTGTAGGCCAAGGGAGATGACATAGTTTGCCCAAAGTCACACAAGTTGTAAGCATCAGAGCTGGAATTTGAACCTAGGTCTTCTGACCCCAAAGCCCAAAAAACCCTTCCGCTGTACCTCACTAGATATGAACATTTATTATCTTTCTCTGTAAAGATACTTGGTCTATGTACCAAGACACAGTCTCTGCCTTCAAAGAATTATAGAGAGAAAAGACATTTAATAATAACTCATTTAAATAACACCTTGCAAAGTGCTTTCCACCCCAAAAACTCTATGAGGTAGGAAGTACATGTACTATTGTCCCCATTTTGCAGGTTAGGAAACTGAGATTAAGTTAGCTTGCAGTCGCAAAGTTAAGTGTCCCAATTCTAAATCCCACACTTTCCCCACTAATACCAAACATACCCAGATAACTAGGATAGGGTTAAATGTAAGGTGTAATGTGCCATTAAAATTTAAATGACACAGAAAATACATTGCAATTGAAGTTTAGAGGCAGGAGAAATTAATTTTCATGGAGGAAATTAATTTAATTAATATTTATTAATTTATTCTTTCAGATTTCAACAACCTGGGATTTAATACATGTGGGAACTTCCTCTACCAGGTCAGGTCACATCTCCTCCATGCCTTGACATAATGACTTTCTGGGTTGTAATGGATAAAGAAAATAAATAAGTGTATCACATGCTGTATAATGTTTCAGGAGTGACTCTTTCTGAATTTCCATAGGCTGGTCCTCCAAAGATCCACCTATAATCTTGTGTAGGGCCCGTGTTCAAAGACTTTTAAGGTCCATAGAACTTACAATGGCATTCAACAACCCAGGATTGCTTTCATGCCATGGCGAGGGATTGGAATGGGCAATGTGGTATAGTAGAAAGAACTCTGGATTTGGAATCAATGACCATGAATCAGAATTTGGGCTCTGTTACTTACTGATTATGTAATCTTGGGGAAAGGAAGGGAAGGGGAAGGGAATAATGCATTTATATAGCACTTACTATGTTCCAAGCACTTTTTACAAAAATTATCTCATTTGAGCCTTACAAAACCCTTTGCTATTGTTTCCCCAGTTTTACAGTTGAGGAAACTGAGGCAAACAGATGTTAAGTCACTTGTACATAGTCACATAGCTTGTATCTGAGGCTGGATTTGAACTCAGGTCTTTCTGACTCCAGGTACCAGTTGCCTCAGGATCCCAGTAAAGTGAAGGGTTTGGGCTCAGTGGTCCCTAAGGTCTCTTGCAATTCAGAAGCTCCGATCTCATGACTTTTGTATAGGCCTTCATTCAAGCTCTGATGGCTCTTGGGCCTGACAGCTGTTTTGAGGGCC